TTACTAGATGTCTGGCATTTTATCTGACAACCCTACCCTTGGCAGTCACTCAAGGAATCAAGCTAACAGATAAGCCAGAGTCACAGCCATTGCTGGTCATACCAGGGGAAAGGGGATCTTGGAGTTTCCATAGTAGAGAGCAAAATGTCAGGTCTCTCAATCTCATCACATTTCTTTTTCCTGTCCCATTATAGACTATCCAGGAGAGTGTTAAATTTTTTTCCCACCTCTTATTTCCCGAAACTTAATTCAGCCTCCAGAAGTCCTCCACAGGTTTCCCAACCTATAATAATACTCTATGGTATAGCACATCGAGGAGAGTATGCTTCAATATAATCCTATTTTATTCTTTATTAAAAATGAAAATACATTCTCTTCTATCTCAGTAAGTATGGTTAAGAAAGATATAAAGCTACTGGTCATATCTATATGATCATATGCTAATTAGTTAAAAGCAATTTTTGAAATTGCATCATTATACAATGTTTATCAAGTTTAAGAACTAAATAAAATGTAAAATAGGGTGGCTAGACATCTCAGCTAATAAGCAGCAGCATTGCTGGCATAATCCAATTGTACTTATTTTTTCAAACTGTTACTGAGAACTATTTTTTAACAAACAGTATCCTTACATATATTTTTATTTAGAACAAGTCTTGCATTAGAAAGGTTTAGTTCCATCTGTTGTTCCACATTTCTCTAACATTTCTTAAGAAATATAGCTTGATAGGGGCGCCTGGGTGGCGCAGTCGGTTAAGCGTCCGACTTCAGCCAGGTCACGATCTCGCGGTCCGTGAGTTCGAGCCCCGCGTCATGCTCTGGGCTGATGGCTGTTTCCGATTCTGTGTCTCCCTCTCTCTCTGCCCCTCCCCCGTTCATGCTCTGTCTCTCTCTGTCCCAAAAATAAATAAACGTTGAAAAAAAATTAAAAAAAAAAGAAATATAGCTTGATATTGATTATATATTGTCAGTCTCTCCATTAAGGGAAATATCAAAATTTGAATTTATTATAAACAGCTAATTGACCTTAATAACCTACCTTATCTATATATTCAAGTAGTAGAGCAAATTAGGTTAGTTTCAATGATGGAAATTTTGATTGAAGTTGGGAGACTGTATTAGAGAATCCACATTATACTGAAACCACCAGTGACATCCTTTTGTACATTCCAGAACTCAGTATTCATTTTTGATACCTCACGAACTCCAACACCCAAGTTTCTGTCTCATGATGTCCTGTAAACTTAATGTCCTATATATCTCTTCAGGACATCCATTTTTCTCAGCATTTACCATTACCACCCTAAGTACCGTCATCTCTTTGCTTAAATTACATAGTAGATTCCTAGTTGATTTCTTCTAAATTACCATTAGCTCCTCCTAGTATATTTTCTATGTTTCTTAAAGGGCAAACTTTTTTAAAAGAATAAAATCTTTCAACGATTTCCCATTTTGTTAGGATGAATAACTTTAACACAGTATGAAGTGCTAAGCGATCTAATTCTTGTCCACCTCCAACACGTGATCCTGTGTTTCTCTTCCTTTTGCCCTTTATAATCACAACCTTTTTTTTTCCCCCTCACATTTCTAGAAGGCATTTTAAGTTCTTCTTTTACAGGATCATTATCCACTAGGTTTCTTCTATCAGGAATGCCCTTATTTATACGTTCTCATAGAAATTGGGAAATAAAAAGCCAGATAAGAATTAGTTGAGCCAGATGAATGGTTAAACATATGCTGAAGTTACTAACTAAATGGACCTAATGGTCTTGAGACTTTCTTACCTAGAATTATGATAAAAGCAATTTTCATAGAAATAGAGAAATGACCACTATACTTTGGTATAATGGATTCTCTATAGAGTGATAATTTTTCTGATTCTCTAAAAATGAGAAAATAAAGGAAATAGGCTCAAACTGAGAGAGAAAATATTTATTTTGTAGCAAATGTTTTTAAAATCCATTTTATGTGATAAAATTAAAATATCAGATGAACTAACATAATTCAGGCAATATTTACTATTTATTATTTCCCTAGAAAAAATATTAACTATTTCCCTAGAAATATAATATTTAATCAATAATAAAATACTATTTATAATAATAAAATACTATTTCTCTAGAAAATATTATTTCCTATTTCCCCAGAAAATTATTGTAAACTATTCTCTGGCAAAATAATTACTTGAAAGATACTTTCAGTTCTATTTTAGAGTTCATATGAAAACTCTTGGAGTTATTCTACAAGGACATATTCAAATTTAGTTCAAGGGATGAGGATATTTGGTTTCAGTTGTATTTTAGAAAAGGGGATTGGTTAGATGACCTATGGAGACCCTTCAAGCTGTATAATTTTATGAGTTAGTTTCTTCCTTCTTCACAAAATTGAATGAATTTAACTTACAGTTCTAGTCACAGGAATAAGAAACATGAAGTCTAGGGTCTTTGGAAAGGGCTTTGCTATTGACCAAATTTTTGACCCTTGGCAAATTGTTAAGTTCTCTTTTTCTGTGTTCTTTAAATGGCACTTTCAAAAAGTATTCTTTAGGGCTGTTTGAATATTAATTAGATAATGTATAAAAGGCACTATAGTAATGCTAAATGTCTCTTCTAACGAATTAACAAAAAGTTTGTGTGTTTCCCTTTTTCAAAGCACCACTATTCTTTTGTCTTTATTTTGCAAAAGCACAATCAAAAAACATATGTAAGTTTAAATAAGAGTACATTCAAGAAAAGTGTAGCTGCTGTCAATATATGTAAGGCAGTGTGCTAGATACTAGGGGTCTTATTTTGAACAAACATTCACATTCACCGTCTTTTGGGCTTAGGTCTTAGTGGGGAAAATTACAATTAGGGTTCCTTAAAGGACAATATGAGAGATGGGCCTCAAGTAGCAAGGAATAAGTTGAAATAATAGAAGACTCTGTGACTAAAATACAAACAGCAAGGAAAGGAGAACAGACATGGGATGAGAAGTGGTCTTTAAACTTTTTTTTAATGCACACCTTATCTTTTAAAACTATTGAGTATTCGTCCATAGGACATAAACCGTTATACTGGTTATTGTCTAAGTATAAGCACTAGTATATGATATCAAAATATACTATTATAATAAAATTTAATACCATGAAATAAAAAAAGGAGACAATAGGAATTTGCATATTAAATATGTATAATACTAAAATTAATATAAAGGGCACCTGGGTGGCTCAGTCAGTTAAGTGTCTGACTTGGGGTCAGGTCATAATCTCACCATTCCTGAGTTCCAGCTCTGCATCAGGCTCTGTGCTGACAGCTCAGAGCCTGGAGCCTGTTTCAGATTCTGTGTCTCCCTCTCTCTCTGCCCCTCCCCAATTGCACTCTGTCTCTCTCTCAAGAATAAATAAACATTAAAAATTTTAAAAAAATAAATATATTTCTCGATTAAAACAAATATAGAATTTAATCTTTTTCTTCCAGCCCTACATGGATTATCTTTGTTCCATTTTGTAGCATATACCCCATTAGAGAGACCAGAGAGGTACAGCAAGAAGAGAGATCATGCAGATCATTCTAATCCAAGTAACAATCGTGGGTTTATTCCATTTGCAACAGAAACCCAGTGAAAATTTTAAAACATTGGAATGAATAAACTAATTTACATTTTCTAAGTAAAAGTGCTGACTCCTAAGATTGATGCATAAAATAAGTTTAAGAATGGGGACAGCAAAATAAGTTTGGTAGCTATTGCAGAAGTTAAGTTAAAACAAGAAGGATGCTGGCCATCGGAATGGAGAGAAGTTTAAAAAAAAGCCATCAATAGAGAAGGTGAAAGAGTCGGGAGTTAATGATACTTGCATGTGATGTTCATAATATACGGGAATAAGGAAGATGGATTTGAGAATTGTTGAACATTTGTGCTGTTGGTTAATTTTTTTTAAAGTGGAAAATACCAGGCCAGAATCAGTTTCCTAGAATAAGATTGTGGAGGAGAGAATATTAGTTCTATTTTACACATGTTCATTTTGGGATGCCAATTAAATATCCTCATGTGGTTCTCCATCTGAGGATGCAAATTTAAATCAACAGGGCTTCTAGACAAAGATGTAAATGCAAATCAAAACCAAAATGAGACACCACCTCACAGCTGTTAGGATGGCTGATATCAGAAAGACAAGAGATAACAAAGGCTGGCAAGAATGTGGATACTAGGGAATCCTTGTGCACTGTTAGCGAGGATGCAAACTAACATACATCTTTTTCATTTATACCTAAACTTTCTAGAAAAGTGATTGTTTTGTTTTTGTCACGTATGTGGTTGGATCTGAAAGGTTTATATGAATTCTACATTTGTTATGTCTAAGGAAAAAATGTAAATATTAAAGCCACAGGAGTTTAGAGGTGCTGTGCCTTAAATCCAACCCCAAAGACTTAGAAACTGCAAAGAACATTATGATCTATGTCTAAAAACTGTCTACCTCATGCTGACCTAATTTTTCTTTATGCATTCCCTGTGATAAAGCATGTAATTATTCTGTTTAATGAATATTTTATATTTAATATATGTCTTACAATATAGCTATATAAGTGTATACTAAAAATAGGAGAATTTGCACTGTAACAACAGATAAAATATTTACCAAAATTAATTTTTTCCCAGGACTCAATCCATGAGTTTTTACATTTACTTTAATAACCATAGGTGAGGTATTCTTCTAGCATTACATCTCAGTAATTGATAGATCAAAGTTTCCTAGCTCAGTCTCTGAGGTAGAACAATATCCACTTCTCACCAATATCCAGTTCTTTTCTTCTTGGGTCCCTGTGGAAGACTATGTCACTTATCTGGCCAATATAACATAAGCATAAGTGATATGTGACATTTTGGACCTGAGGCAGTGAATCCTTCATGATTCTTCAGTCTGTTTTTTCAGGGATAGGCATTGTGTTAAAAATAAAGAGCCAGGATATTAAGGCCACCAAGTTCACTAAGTCCCTGCACGCAGGATAGGTGTCCTGGAGAATTTGCATGAGTCAGAAACTAATGGTATTGGTATTAGTCCAGGTTAGTTGGCAGATTGATGCTTCTCCTGGGATTGATACCTTTTCTGAATCAATATCCTTCTCATCTTAGTGATATTTCTCTTTTGCCTCTAATACAACTGAATGCTTCTTTATTTCTTTAAAAAATTGTTTTTAAGTTTTATTCTTGTACAATTGACAAATAGAAAATGTATACATTTACAGTGTACAATATGATTTTTTGGCATACATACATATCGTGAAATGATTACCACAATAAAGATATTTAACATATATATCACCTCTCACAGTTATCTTTGTGTGTGTGTGTATGTGTGTGTGCTGAGCACATATATGATCTATTCTCTTAGCACATTTCAAAATATACAATAACCATAACCAAATATACAATAACTATAACCACCATGTTGTAAATTAAATCCCAGAATGTATTCATCTTTTCCCACAACTATACTCTTTGACCAATATCTCATTTCCCACTCCTTCCAGTCCTTGGCAACCACCACTCTATTCCCAGCTTCCATGAGTTTGACATTTTTAGATTCACTTATAAGTTGGATCATGTGATATTTGTCTTGCTGTGCCTGGCTTATTTCACTTAGCATAATGTCCTCCAGTTTCATCCATATTGTTGCAAATGGCAGGATTTCTTTCTTTTTAAATTCTTTTTAGTGTTTATTTATTTTTGAGAGAGACAGACACAGAGAGAGAGCGAGGAAGGGAGAGAGAAAGAGGGAGACAGAATCCGAAGCAGGCTCCAGGCTCTGAGGTATCAACATAGAGCCCGATGCGGGGCTCAAACTCACAAACCATGATATCATGACTTGAGCCAAAGAAAGACGCTTGACCGACTGAGCCACCCAGGCGCCCATTTCTTTTTAAAGACTGAATAATAAATTCCATTAACTTACTTCTATTTAATGATAATGTTATTCTATGATGACAGAATGGAAACATGTATTAAGAACTCTCTTGCACTCAGGTTTGCAAAGAACCAATGCTGGCCAGATGCCACTAATCAAGAGACTACAGAACTTGTTTCTTCTTTTTTTTCTCAGCAAGAAAATTAAACAGGTGGTATGCCTCTGAGTAGGATTCCTCAGCAGTGAATCCTATGGAAAGTGGAATCCTATGGAAAGTGTGTACTGTGACAGAACAGGTTTTACTGGCTGTGGGTTCACCATTGGATAGTGGCAGACTGTGATTCTGTAGCAGCCCAGGTGACTGGAACAGCAGACATAGCTATGGTGACAAAGAACTACCTAAACCTATGTTATGGCAGGAACAGGAACCAGAGATTTCTCCAAGTAGGGATTTTTTTTTCACCTAAAATTTTATACCTGGAGAGGAAATATAACCTAAAGTATACACTACTATGAATATAATATTAGGTATGAAAAGAAATGATGAAATTTCTTTTAGTAATCTCTACACTCAATCTGCGGCTCATTAACATTAAGGCCTTCATGATAAATCCACAATTCTCTCAAAAATGTCTCACAGTAGAGAATGCAGAACAGTAATGGTTAACTACATTACGGGAAGTCATTGTGTTTTGAAATATGGTTTCAGAACTTAACAGATATCCTATGTTGTGCTTTTTTGTGTGGGCTCAACACTGGAATGGCTTTTTAGAGAAAATAACAGGTGCCTTTGCAGATGATGATTTTGGACTTGACCCTTTATCTTTTAGAAATTGAAACTATATTCACCTTAAGAGCAGCACTTAGGCAGAGCATAGATCTTAGAAATGTCTTGGTAGTGGCTTATATATACTAAGTCAAGCAGTACCTTTATTTGAAAAGCTTCTGTGAATAACCATTGGAAAAATAACAAAGGACATGGCCAGAAGACTCCGAGTGATAGAAAATGACAGCTTTCTGATGCCTCCCCTTCGTCCTCACCTTACATTTACTCTTCCTAGGTCAAATTCATTTTACAGCTTAACCCTTCAATTAAAAATATTTTGTTTTTTAAAGTTGAGATTCTGGAAAGATGAATATAACTAGAGAATTAAATGCATCATCATGACATTGAAGAATCCATGGGAGTGCAGAGAGGTTCAGTGATAAAAAGGTAGGAGAGAGAAGCAATAGCAAGAGTGAGGGAGAAAATACATATTTTAGCAAGAAAAAAATTATACTAGGCAAACTAACTTTAGGGCTGTTGAAAGAGGAATTGATTTTTTTTTAAGGCACAAAAATCCTCACAGAGAAGAGAAAAAGTTGTTAAATATCAATTTACATTAGATAAGAGTTTTGCAATATAGTACAAAAAAGAACTCAGAAGCTTTATTCTGTTACTGTAGCTAGCTTATGCTGTAGAAGAAAGAAAAGAAATCAAATGTATTTATTTAATCCTTTTTGTCAGTAATACCCAGGGTGAAGAATTCATTTGTAGCTTTTCGGTGCTGAGTTGCATCTTAGAACTTCACATATATTAAAGTAAAATGTAATGCCTTTTGATCCTAAGACTTCGGGATATAGTTCATTTCTACTTATGAAAAAAGGATGGCTTCTGTATAATTAAAATGTCATAGAAATTGCCTAAGAATCTATCAGTTATCAAAATAATGATCTTTACTACTTTTTGTTCATAGAACATATCTATTTAAATATTTGAATTTTTAAATTTTTATGTGATTCACATTTCCTTTCACACTGACTTACAGAAAGTGTAAATTATTATAATTCCATACTTTTAGAAATATTTAGGAGAATGTATACAACAGCAAAAGAGAATATTTTTGTATTTTCCTTTAAGCTGTCATTGGGCTAATACTTTTTAGTTAAATAATGATCAGCTATAGAATCAAATATAGTTTGCCTCTAAGCTTTTTTACTCTTAAAAAAATAGATAGATAGTATAAAATGGAAGAAAACTCAATAGCATATTAAGAATTGCATCATTTATATTTAATACAAATTCCAGAAACCTGGATTATTAATGGAATTTGAAAAGGAGGAGTGAGGAATACACTACCATATGGACGAGCCTTAAAAACACTAGGCTAAAGGAAAGAAGCCAGACATAAAAGACTACATATTGTATGGTTAAGTTTCTATGGAAAACCCAGAATACATAGAGACAGAAAGATTGTCTCCACTATCTCTGTTGCAAGGGAAGAAAGACATGGAAAGACTAACGCATCAAGTACATGCTTCTTCATGGGAAGTGACACATATAGCTACTCGTATCTGGACAGGATGTCTATTTCATAGTAAATAACATGGACATGCCTACCACCTGAGAAGTGAGACAGTGCAGGTCTTCCATATTATCAGGAGAGCCAGACATCTTGATGAATAGTATTAGGTTCTAAAATAATGTATATTTTAAAATGTTAGCTTTTTAGCTATGATCATGTGTTACTTAATCAAAGTTCATTTCATTTTTAAATACTGTTTCATTAAGAAAGAAAAAAAAGAAAAAAAGACAAATTACTGATAATCAGTTATAAAACATGTTAATGAAAACAATCTTATAAAATCTATTATCTAACACTATGCTTATTATGATTTTTAGCATGCAGTGAGAAGGGCTAGAAAATATATATGTAAATATAATCAAATTGGTTATCTCCAAGTTACGAATAACACAGTCTATTCATATACTTTTCTAGATTCTTTCCAAAACTTTTCTAAAATGCATATTTATGATAAGCAATAAAATACTAAATGTTACTTTTAATGTGTTTAGTGTTTTGAAATGAACATCGATTTTTTGGCTTTTTACTATACTAGTATTTTGATCCCACAAATGATATTTTACAATCAATGTTAATGTTTAAAGGACAGAATCACCATAGTCTCTTCTTATAATAATATATATATGAAATTGTAGTAATAATATGGTTAAAATCTTTTATGGGCATATAATAATGAGGTTCAGTGTAGGTGCATATGTAATTTATGTTTTAATTATAATGGATATTTTTGTTTCCTCACTTAATTTGAAATAATGTTATTTTTAGACACAAAGTAGTAAATAGTAGAAGAAAGAGCAGTAAATAGGCTTAGAAGAGGAAAGGAGCTATGCCAGAACCTAGAAGGAAGAGTCCTATTGAAGAGACCACCTTGAGAGACACAGTGGTATTCAGTCCAGAGCCACAGTCAGCCCATCATTGTGTTGGGTCATGGATGGACCCAGGAGAATAAGTATACTAAACATATGCTCCCTTGTCCGTCTCCTTCTGGCATTCCCACTGGCTGAAAGTTTCTGGTAGCAAAAGCATGTAGGTGTCTACTGAAGTTGTCATATAGGTCAGGCTTCAAGAATTTGATAAGAGGGTGGGATGGGGAAGTGAACAAGGAAGGCACACAGAAGCTATTTGGAAGACGTATAATCACTAACTTCCACGTGGAGGAAACCTATTGCAAACATTTAAAAAAAATCTTTTTGTTATTATTTAACATAAGGCAAGAGAAAAGGAATAATTTTTTTAAAGGCAACAGTGGTTAGAAAACCTGGTTAAAATAATACACCGGTAAGTAATTATAAATTTTCTCCTATGAAAAATTATTTTGGAATGAAAAATATGTAAAGTGATGAGAGATGCATAATACATACAAATATTTACAGAAAACCTCCATAATTTTTCTCTTTTTCCTGTGAATTCAAAGGGTGGGAAGCACAAATCTAATCTGTACATTAAAAAGAGATAAACACGAAAAAGACAAATACTCCCTTTTCTCTGATAAATTATAAGCAATTAAAACTTTTAGAGACAATTTATACATTGAAGATGTGCAAGATTTACTTTTCCCAATTAAAGAAATAGGTACAATTTAAGGGATGACTTTAGAGAACAGAAGAAAAGACACAGGTTAACTAACCCTTTAGTTTAAATGTGGAAACAATGCATTTACTTTACATGTAGATCACAATTTGCTTCACTGCATGCATTTGTTGTGGCGAAGATTGCTTGCTGAACTGCATAGATTTATGCCCCCTTTCTGTTGTGCAGAGTTGAGGGAGTTGTCCATCTGCC